TAGTACGAATCAATAAGAAAAGACAATAAGCTAGGACTAAACTCGATCCTAGCGTATCTTAATTCAAAATAACTGATATGTGAAATATTGTGAACTTCTCTGATTCCATGGAAAAAGCGCATGATGTAATTTACATCATGTAAATAAAGCTAAAAAGTTTTCTGGACATCCTCTGAAGGTCCGAAGCAGACTGGAGACATTTCTAATCGATTCGCCATGATAAACTATCTATATTCTGTAAGTTTATTGTCCGTAGATGACTTTTCTTGTGATATCAAAATTGACTGATTCCAGGTGACATCTATCTACGGAAAGTCTGCTTAGCTTTTTTTCGCCCTGCATCAGTAGATATTTCCTCCATTTCTTTAAATATTTTCTCTCTCGTGATGATTATGTTTAAAAAGAATTTTCTATTTTTCTCTCTTGTCGTTGTGATTGGCATATCCATGGAATATCTGACAGGCATTTTTCCGTATTTTGCGCACAGACACACACACACACACACAGACAACCATTTTGGAATACCCTAGACTAAAGTCAAGAGAATATGTCTGTATGTATATATAATATGTAATGTAACATGTAATATAATAGTGTTAAAAAAATAAAATCGTTTTGTGGGTCAAGGATATTGTTGTTTGAGTTGATCATACCAGGACGTTTTCAGCTTCTGATTTTGATCAGATCTAGATGATCCTTTTTATCTAAAGTGATCAATGACGCTGTTGCACTACGCTACCCTATAGCACATTTATACAAGTAAGTTTTTCTAACGTATTTTCATTCATCATTGACTTAAGAAAATGAGATAAAATGTTTTAACCACTAACGGATATGGTTTTTCCCCACTTTCTAGATTTTGAGTAAAGCTATTTTGTAGAGTTTTTCTGCGAAAACAAAAGTATTTACTCTCAGGCAAAACAATGAGCAATTCAGCAACCCAAACCTAGCTCACATTTGAATTTTCAATTTAAAGAAAAGTAGAATTATTATCTCTCTGTCCGCTTCCTCGATCTTCGTTAGTTGATTATTTTATAACTCTTAAAAAGAAGTTTTGTTATCTATTTTACTTTTATATAGAGGTTGACATCCTGCTTTATACATCGTGGACTAAACCTTTTTTCCATAAACGCTTGCTTGTAATTAGTGCTACGTAACTGTAATAAAATTAATCAATGTCAAATTGGATAGTGTTGAAATTAAATGTCGATATGTACCCATCTTCTTGCGATAGATAGATGTATATGCACATACGTATATCATTTATTTATAGACAGTATCATTCAGGTATAAAAAAAAGCAAAAAAATGAATATAATGATATTTTGTGTTTATGCTCTCTGTCGTGTATTAGAAAAGAATACACATACATTTTATGATACTCTATTTAATAAAAAGCTAATGTACTACAATAAATAAAACCCGTATTTTGCTTATGTAAAAGAAGAAATGTAACGGAGGGATGCTTTGTCGCAGTCTCATCATGATTGTTATCGCATAGACTGTCTATCGAGTAGGAAAAAAAGAACTCTGTGTACGAATGCTTTGAGCGAATAATATATAGAGCATTTATATATATATCTATGTGACGTGACTTAATTATTGTTTTTATTCTTTTTCCTCTCTATAATAATATCAAATACAAGAAACAAGGGATTTTTTTTTCTCACATTTGCTCAGCTGTCCTGTTTAAGATAAGTAAGACAACAAACAAGAATCAGAATAAAAGAAAATGAGAAAAAAAAAAGAAAATAGCTGCTGATGGAGAGCATTAAAGGATGATTAAACGTACGTTGAGAAATATATATCAAACTTTGTTACTTGATTCAAAAGAGAGGACGAAATAAATAAAAAGCAATCTTTTTGTTTTTTCTTCTTGGAAAAAATATGCCATTGTTGGACATTTCTTTTTTTTTGTTCAATTTGCGTAAAACACATCAACGAAAATAAAAGTAGCTGTTGAAGTGGAAAATCAATAAAGATTTTTTTTTGTTTTCATTGACGATATTTGACTCATTCATCAAAGATCAATTATACGGTTAGATGATATTCATTATAGACACGGTGAGATTGTTAGATTTTTAAACATTAAAATAAGATTTTCTTTGTTTATAAAAATTCAATTGTTTGTTTAATGCATTCAAGCCTCTTCATAATGGTGTATGTGTGCTTACATATTAGAGCTAGTCAGTCACTTGTCGGTCGCCAGTTAAGAAAAAAAATATCGTCCGTAATCTTTTCGCATTTTTTTTTCTTCTCGTTTTGTTCTTTTTATCTAATTTAACCCCCAAAAAAAAAGTGAGTCCTGTATATGTTTACATTTGCCTTGTTTTAAGTCTTATTATGTGTATGGAGACGAGAGACACGGCGTAAGAAGTGTAGAAAAAATAGTTACTTCAGTAACACATATGCATGGAGGGCAAAAGACTTTCTATGCTAGTAGCAATCTTTTTTCTCTTCTTTGTTGTTATTATTGTTCTGTGCGTATATTCATATATGTTCGATGGGTTTTTTTTACGTTAGATTTTTATGAAACTCAATATTAATGAGAATGAAAGATGCGCTTGAATAATAGTCATAAAATATATATTTTCTTTTACAATGGTAGTATAACAGGTATTAGTTTTTTTTTTTTTGTTTTTTTTTTTAAGTAAAATTTTCTAGTAAAAGATAAATGATAAATGTAATGTTACAACAAATTTGCTGACTTTAAACCATTTTCCATTTTAAAGTCATTTATCCGTTATATAATAGTTTGAAATGACAAATCACAATGTTTATAAATTAAATACAAGTAAGGTTTCAATTAGTTAAAGTATATAATAGATTACTCAACTAACCTTAGGTGAAGAAAATTTTATTTTATATAACAGATTTGAAACGTCTAATTTCATAAAACTATTGCATAATAGATTTAATACATTTAGTTATGAAAAAACTTGAAATTTTCTATTAGACAGAGAAAATACGTAACCTGACTTAAAAAAGAAAAAAGAAAGTTTCGTCAATATATTAGCGATATTCTACTACCCAGGTCTATACTACAGCAGGTCTCTGCTACACATGTCTATCTACTTGATGAAAGATTATTGTATTGAACATTGTAAGAGAATGGGTTAAATATCTTCCCCAAAAAATTGTTTAAATTTAAAAATACTTCCTTTTTTAACGCAAGGACATTGGAGCATCAAAACATGGAAATCATCAATTTAGGCGATGAGAGAGTTATTAATCAGAGAGTTTCACTGTCCCGTGTTTGAGAAGAACGAATTTGGACTAGTACTTTTATGCATATTGGTGTTCGTCTCATTAAGCATCATTGTCATTTATATTAAATGCTAAAAACCTGGTATCTTCTGTGATAAATTCTTTCCAATTTTTTCATGCAAATTTTGAATAAAAAAAATATATCGTATTGAGATGCATTTTTTCGTAAAAGATTTTGTGACAAAAAAATCCAAAGAAAATATTCGGTAGCGTATGTACATGCCTTATAAGACATCTTTCTAAACCATGTCAGAAAGAAGAAAAAAAAAGTCGAATAGAAAGACAAATGTAACAATACATCTGTTTTGATTTAATTGTCTTTAATGCATATGCTTTTTTTTCTTCAGATATATCCGCCCGTCAACCGTGTATAAAGCTGCGCAGAATTTCCCTATCATAGAAATATACTATAAAAAAAACGGAGAAAGAAAGAAAGAGGCAGAGACCCAACATACAAAATGAACGAAATTCATATTAACGCATAAAAAAAAAGATTTGACAACCTTCTTGCGATTGTATAGATTCTCTCTTCTGCTATAGGCAAATATATTTTCGTACGTGTAGAGAAAGTGAGAATGAGTATGACCGGACGTTTGTATTGAAGGAGAGAGAGAGAGAGAGAAGAAAAGGATAACCGACAGACCACTTTATTCTTATTTCCTTTCTCTGTTATTTTTCATCCATCTACAACTTACAGTCTGATTTAATTCAAATTTTCTTGAACAGAAAAAAACGAGTAGATCAAATTTAAGGATAACAAATCGCACGCCTACTTCCGCTTTACGAAATAATGAAAAATATTAAACTACATACGCATGTATATTGAATAGGAAAGCTCAGTTATGATTTTGATATGTTATTTTATTTGAAACAAATGTGAAAAATCTAGTAGTCATCGCTAGTGTTTTATATATATTGATGTTATTTTCAATGTGTTGCAAGTTTATGATTGTTATGATCGTTAAATCTATAAGAGGTTTACTTTTTACTTTTATCTTATAAAGAAAGCCTTTGACACTAAATATGGTAAGATTTATATTCATTGCTTAATGCATCAATATTTTTCATTTCAGATCATTTTTCTATCCTGTTCTGTTTCTCATTTTAAATGATATTGTTCGCAATCGCTGTCGTCATTATCATGGTTTATTGATCTCGTTGTGTTTTTGCTACACATGTTTGTTTTTATTACTGTACTCAGTATATCTATATATTAATTAATAAGTTTTATCTTCTTATTATTATTTAATAACCAGACAATTTTATTTCAAAGTATTCGTTCATCCAAAATTGTGCTTGTTCACATTGCTTACTTACTCAACAATTTTTATCAATTTGCTTTATTATTACCAATTGTCTTTCAAAAATTATATATATTCACAATATATATAAATATATATTCGTTCTAAATTGTACAAAATACATAAGCATCTAGGAACAGTGCCATTCTCTGTCTCTCTCTCTCATTTCTTAATTAAACACACACGAACGAACGTCTGCAATTTACCCTGTGATCTTCTCTTCTTTTTTAAACAACCACAGTTTTATTCTGTTTTTTTTTACTTTATACATTTTGTCTCTATCGTCTATGTGATCATATTCTATTGATAATAAACACGTTTTTAAACTCATTCAAAGAATAAACAACACCAACAAAAAAACTGGTGAAATTAATCAAAATAGTTAATACGTACTATTGTTATTATTTATATACTACAAAAATTAAAAAACAAAATGGATATGACCTCAAGTAAGTTACTTTTTGCATTTGTCAATAGTCAGTATTTCAGAATCCTTAGATGAAGTATTTGACAGACTTATTTTGTTGTAAAGTTGTAATCCGGCTGGAACCATACCGGCAATTTTTACTTTGATTTTGTAAGTGGACAGACCGTGCTTCACTCCGACTTTTGAAAAAGTATTATCTACCTCGAAATTTGTGTCCATTTTCTGCTCGAACATCTTCAAAGTGCCCCTGAGTCTTTTATCGTCAGTATTATTCTGTTTTTTCTAAAGATCTGCTAGAAAACAGAGAAAAATTTACAGAATCACTGAAAGTTGGCCACAAAGATGAGAATACTATCGCTTTACTGAAAAATAAGAACTTGCAATAATCACTTAATCCTAATATGTTAAATTTCAGTTTAGATGAGCAGTGATTTTTAGGCTAAAAATCGCATTCTTTTGTTTCTTCCTTTTCCTACTTTCCTACTTTAAGCAATGATGAATTCCTCTGCGATTCCACTTGTTATAGAAGTTTTTCGAAGTTACTCTCGCCTAGCAAATACTATGTTGTTTATGTTTTCCAATAAAACTTTGAAATTAACCTTAAAGATTTTAAACCTTTTGTGAAGTAATTTTTTTTGTTTTTAGACTTTTGTGATTCAAATCTGATGCCGAATTTTCCTTTTCCAGATACATTATCAACAGCACAATTATCATCACCGTCAAATGAACCAGATGTTGATTGGACAGTGTTTGAAAATGCTGGTAAGAACAGTAGTTGAAGAAATTATTGTTGATTGTATTTTTCTATTTTTCTATTTTAGATCGTTATCTTCTTCGAGATGATAATGCATGGATAGCTCGCCTTGGTAAAGAATTCTGGTGGAATTTGGAGCGTATGACAGAAATGATTGTAACTGAACATACAACAAATACCTTACAACAACAAGTTACAACTGGACAATTGGCACATACTATGTATAATCGTCTTAACAATACCAGTAATAATCCAAAAAATATTGTCAATTTTAATGCTAGTCATGCACAACCATCATCTGCTTCCTATACTAATGGGGGGCAACCGCCTATTTCTTCATCACAGCAACAAGTATCATCGACATCTCAACAAGTAGGGAATTTAAATGCCCTTCACTATCAGCAACCGACACCACAATTACAGCCTCCGTCCAGTGCTCATTATAACAATCAACATCATTTTAATAGTCAACAATTGCCTAATGCAACACAATACAATGGAGATGGAAGTAAAACAAATTTTCCACAACAAGCCCTAATGAACAATAATAATTTTATGCCTAGAAAAAGTAAATTATACCTTTATATTTATTTTTTTAGTTGTTAGTTTTACATTTACTCTTTGCATTAACTATCATTTTTGGCTTTTTTAGTTGTAGGTCAACGAAATCAGTCTTCCAATAACAGTAGTATGAATAGTAATGCAACACCGATCAATAATAATAATTATCCTTCATCTAATTTATTTAATTCTGATATGAATCAATCATCGAATGGTACAGCCATCTCACCACCACCACCATTACATTCAGGTTCCTCATCGTCTTCATCGTCGACAATATCGGCTTATTCAGCGATCACCAGACCTAATGGTAGTATATCAGCTGTATTTTCCAATAATACCATTCCAGATAAAATGTTTAACGGTAATATAACCAACAATAACAGTCTATTTCAAGCATTTGCTTCAACATTCAATGATCAATTACCAATGGATGGTTTTAGTTTTAATCCATTTAAATCAAATATATCATTCGATAATAATACATGGCAACAACAACAACCAATAACAAATTGGCAATAAATCAGTTAGTCAGAACTTTCTCTCTATTGGTATTTTTTTCTCTCGTTCTTGACCGAATTATATACTTAGCTTGATTTTTATCTCTAAAAAAAATAACAACGACAATTTGTTTTTTTTTCTTTTTCCTGTGATTCTTCTAAAACTTTCAATAGTAGTTAGAGAGAGTACAGACTCCAGTTTTACTGCAATTAAAATTACTCAAGAACCCACATAAAAAAGATCAATTTATCTCATTCCTATATCAATGATTTCTTCACAATGAACAGCGTAAACTTTTTTTTGTTTGTTTTTGTACATACTTATATACGAAAGTAAATCTCTTTCTCCTCTCTGCTTTTTTTTTGGTATTATAACTCAATTCATTTCCATTTAAAAGATAGAATGTATGTATCATGTGTTTAGTTGTGTGTCTGTTATGTTAAAATTTGCCTTTTCCGTCCTTTTCGGAATGTCCATGTATGTCTTGTATTTTGTGAACGTTTTTTTTCTGTTTGTGCATGTTCGTTTTATTTCTCTATCACGAATGAATCTATAAACACCATGTCCTACTTTTTTCGGGTTCCTTCCATTTCTTTTGTGTAAACTCTACTATGATGAAATGATAATTAACGTTGTGTGTATGTCTGTCCTTCTCTCAATCTCTTGAATTATACACGTTTGGCCAAAATCACCCAAGCAACCAACAAAAGAAGTAAGTTTATCGTTTGTTTTCTTTTTTTGCAATATGTATGTTGATTAAGAGAGAAGTAGTAACATATATACTGTGTTCATAACTTTGCACTTGTCTGATGATACTACACATCACGCAATAAAAATTGTAATGCATATTTTCTGGTCTTATGTTTTTCTTTGCGTCTCTTCTTCCATCATTAAAACAGTGAAAATTATCTGAAAAAAAAATTCTAGTACCTAGTCTTACTGCACTATAACCAAACAGAATGTCTGCTTCCTCGTTGATACCAGAAAACACCATGACATTCCGTAGTTAGCAGTAATTTTTCGTGTTTGCTCAGATTTTCTTGTTTTCACTTCTAATTGAAATTATCTTTGAGATGAAAAACTGTGAAATGCGTGTGATTAAAAAAGATATTGCCAAAGAAACGAAATAGGACGAAGAAGTTGTCAAATATTGTTTGTACATAGTTTGCTTTCATGTTTTTCCTGTTTGAAGCTCATATTCTTTTTCTTCGCTCTCCAGTTATACAGTGATCTGTCTTCTTTCGAACAAAAAACGCTTTTTTTGTGCGTGTGACGGACCCAAAGGAAAACACCCCTTCTTTTTCTCCTCTACCAGTCAGCTTTTTCTTGTAATGAAAAATTTAAAAAAAAAAATTATTGATTTCTTTGGGTTTTTTCTCTGCGTGCTAGTCCGTCATTTCCGGTGGTTCTCTATTTCGTCAGTAATTAGTTAAAATATAAGTGCTTGCTTGCTCTCCTAGAACGGGTTTAGAAAACGGTGCTTAGACACATACACCTAATTCTGGCGCATACAACAAAAACTTCAGGGATAAGACACTTTTTCTCTCTTTTCTCTATCTCTTCTTTTTCAGTCAAACACAGTGAAAGAAATGCAACATGTGTTAATGTGTTTTGTATTTGTGTTCTCTCTTGGTGTGTGTGTTCTGAATGCTCATATATATGTATAAAGAAATAAATCAGATATTTCGACAAATTGTCACGTAAAATGCACAGATTATATTGCTAGGTGCAAAGTTTCTTCTTTGGTGTTTCCATTTTCTTTGTTCTGAAAGATAATCAATTAGTTGTGTTTCTATGTGGCATGAAAACACATCTTTCTCTCAAAACCGCATAGTCCGGTGCTTAGGTGCTGTTTCAGAATTTCCGCTGCACATGAAGCAAATACACAATAAAAGACAAAATCGAGTTCAATATATATATACACACACATACAACAGAACTATACCCTTTCTTTCTTGTATGCGTCAGTCATTTACGATACAGTTATTAAACCACTTTCTTTTTCTTTTTTTGTTTATTTTACCTTTCTTGTATGTATATCTGCGATTAATAAGAGGAACGGTGGTGTTATTGTTACAAAAAGCTGTTTAAAAAATCCTTCCAGTTCAGTAGTGCATTTTTCGTTTTGATCTTGTTTTTTTTTTTTTCTTGTTTTCTTTCTATTGCGCCAGTGAACTAATGCGTTTTTTTGTGTATACTCGTCTTTCCATAAGCCCACGCTTTTATTTACTTTTGTTTTCGTGCAACAAACGACACTTTTTGCCCTTTTTTTTCTAAACTTGACATTTATATTGAGATATTTACTGAGAAATTCTTTCTATTGATTTCTGTTCTTGATGAACGTTGTCTCATTTCTTCTTTGCTTTTCTTTGTTCATTTGTTTTCAAAATAAAAACTTGTGACTTCATATCATTAGCGTGATTATTCCATATTGTTTTGTTCTCAATTTTGTGTGCACGTGTCTTATCATATCTGAAAAATAATTTTTTTTTTTTTGAAGCAATGATCAAAAATAATAAACTAGAAAAAAATAATTCAAAATGTGCGGGTTTTGTTTTTCTTTTGTGTTTCTGTTTTTTTTTTTTTGGTTAGTTCTGTTTGTCACTTTAAAATTCAATCAATAAAATCAGCAAAAAAGAAACCTGCGTTATGTTGTCCAACTCGTTTTACAAATCAAATTTCTAGCTATCTGAATGCTTAAAAGTTCAAACGATGCTTCTGGTAATAAAAATTCTACCTAATCAACGAGATGTATGTAGGTTGTAGAGTATTGAAATGTATATTCCTTGGACTTAACGATGTACGATTCCTGTGAAAACTATAAAATTTGATTAATGGATATCGCTATGATATCTACAGAATAAAAAGATTTGTTTACAAATATCTTAAACTTTTTTAAAAATGGCTGTTCACTGTTGAATCGGTGATATGTTGGTGCATCTGTAGAATTATGGGGTAAGTTTAACAAGAAAAAAGTCCATTTGAAAAGTAGCTTTGGGTTTATTTAGTAAAAAAGCTATATCTCCGTCAGAGAAGACTTAAACATCCTCACTTTATCTACTACAAATCTTGAAATTTTTTGAAGAAACTGTTACTCTTTAAGATCGAGTTATAAATCTTAAGCAGAAATTTGCGTACATTTTTCGGTCACATTTTTCGGTGTAACTTATCAGAATTGTTTTGTAATGTTTTATGGTTACAACAGCATTTATACAATAATTAATTTTTTAAATTCAAGCAATTAATTGACTTCATGCGACTCGATTTCGTTAGGTGCTTTCAGGATCGTAACTCCCGTGGGAGAGGACATCGTTCTCCTGCTTTTCGAAATTTTTGTTTGATTTTTCGACTAAAAAAAAATGCTATTTTTACAATGTGCTGCTGATTTTACTATCACTCGAAACAACTCACTCGAAATTTGACCTAAATAAATCCAGAGAAAAAAAATTTCTTTCCCAAAGCAATTTTTTGCTTCATTCTGTTCTATCCTTATCTCTCTTATTCAACCAACACATGTACAAGTAACAAGAGCAAAAAAAATGAGTGTCAACCAACACCCGCGCAGCACGTTTTATCCTCATTAAAACTACATTTTGGAGAAATCCTGTAAAAATATGCCGAAAAAACACATTATCGCTTTCTACTCCTACTCTTTCTTCCACTTCGTGCATCCGCGATTGAAGAAACAAGTAGTTTTTCATCGTTTTCTAATTAAATAAGCAATAGTAATACAGAACTATATCGATATAGAGTCCCATGGGATAATTGTGGTCACATCATCAAAATTTTGTTGTATCTCTGGCATAGTTCGCGCAATTTTGTCTGGAAAAAAGGGGTGTTTAACCGTCAGGTAAATATGAGTGTTTCCTATCGAATGGGTAAAAAAATTCCAGAATCGCATTCATGTTAATGGATGTTAATGAACTTCTTGAGAGCACCTTTCGATTAACCACAGAAGTAATTATGATCAATACACCAAAAACGGTTGAGATAAAGTTTAACAACTTAGTTTCAATGAAGAGTTTTGAGTAGAATTATTAACAATAACATCATCTTGTAGAGAATTTCAATATCTATCACTTGTATGAATTTCACATCATTCCGGCTTGCTATTAATTAATTAATTAGCAACTACAAAAATGCGTGTTTTTTTAAAAAATCATTTGGGGATAATTATGGTTAGTCCGTACCATTTACACGGAATAGTCAGAGCTTAAATACCACCGACTTATGGAGATCGATTTCACAACAAAACAAAATGGAAAAGTTGTAGAGGAGCTTGTTCTTTTTCAGATGAAGTGAGAACTAGAACAAAAACGCATGCCAGCGACTTGTAGCCACTTAATGAACTTGAAAGAATTCTAGCAGGGTGCATCCATTCACAGCTCCGTCCACTTTTTATATGACTCCTGAGCCTATAGGATGCCACTATGCTAGTTCTGTAGCCAGTGTCAAGTTATGTAGGAATCCATATTCTTTTCTTAAAAATAGTTTGCTAAACTTGGTATGTCCCACAAAAAATGTCCGAAAGGGGTTTGTATTTGTACATGTATTTTTGTAACTGCTGAAAAAATTAAAAAGTCTCAATAAATTTATACCCAAAATGTAGCCATAAGTATTTTTCACAAAATGGTCAACGATTCTGCTTATAGCAAGAACATCATTTTTCGACTGGGGATTGGGCATGGAAATAGATCGATATCAACCGTCAGGGTTTCTGGAGCTGTAATCGAGACAGTAAGTCTGCAATCAGTGTGAAGACATATCCCGATTGGGATATCATTTTTTGCAGCAAAATTTTTTGTATACCCCGTACGGGATATAGTTTGAAATTACATCTCGATCAGGATATAATTCGATATCCCGATTGGGATATCAAGAAAATCTATATCCCAATCAGGATATCAAGAATTTTAATTTTTAATTTGTTAGAAAATGATAAATTTTAATTATATGAGAGCTGAATATTCTTCTCCTTTTCCTTTATTCCCCCTCTCTAATGTTCCTAGTAGTGTCTTTTG